TTGAAACCGCTTCGAACTACTTGCTAGCAAGTAGTCCCAAACCGCTTGAAACCGCTTCGAACTACTTGCTAGCAAATAGTCCGAAACCGCTTGGAGCCGCTTCAGAACATGGTATATGATTTGATGATAATAACATATAAAAACACATACATAACTTAACTTAACATAACATAACATAACATGTTACTATAAAACTATATTTGTACGGTCTGTTTCTGTTTAAGAATAATGAATGAATCAAAAATCCTGTCAATGTTATGTTTGTTTTGTGATGTCATGTCAAGTTCTGCAACGTATGTTAAAATGCTACAAAAGGCAAAAGGCTATGATATGTCAAAAGTTTTGTAAAGTAATGTGATGTTAGTAGCTATGTGTTGATTTATTCATAGTTAGAGTTAGTGTTCTAATATTTTTTTTAGTTTAGTTTTACTGTAAGTTATAGTCTATAGTCTATAGTCGAGTCATAGTCATAGTCATAGTTAAATAGTCTAGTTACTAGTCACGTCAATTTCCGTGTTACATTACATTACTAGTACTGCGATGTTGACCTATGCTACCACAAAACAAAGAGAACTACACTTAAAACAAGGCATGAAAATGCCATCGATGCTCTTGCACTTGACTTGTGCGGTTTTGCAATCTGGAACGAGGACGAGGATGAGCCAGGATGAGGAAAGGAGTAGGATTAGGATGAGGACCAGCAGCTTGTGTTGGGTAGGTAGCACAGCAGTACGCCCTCTCTTGATTCCGGTTGGACCGCTTTCCCTTGATGTTCTTGATTCCGCCTGTTGCTTGCGTTGCCTGCGTTGCCCGCGTTACCAGCGTTGCCTGTGCTGTCCACGTTGCTTGTGCCTGCTGTGCTTTGTGTCTAAAAAACTAAGTAAACTATGTAAAAACTAAGTATTACTAGTAGTATAGTGACTGTATCATGGGTCTTCTTACTAACTCAAGTTAATAAGTAGTAACTAGTCCGTGGTATGAGCGCTACGACTGTTTTGTCACCGTTCCAGTGCTGAGCGTTGAGTGTTGAAATCGATGGCCAGGATTGATATGATAATAAATATGATAATAAATAAATAACAATTTAACAATAATATGATCGACTCATTTTTTACTAACTACAAAATACTAAATACCAATTACAATTACCAACTAACCAACTTCAACTACGTAACCATTTTCGGAAGGCACCAACTACAGGATACCCGATATCAAACATTCAATAGACTAATACTGTTTTGACGTTTGGCAATTTGGCAATTTGCAAATAGCAACACTTTGGCAAACACAAAAACTATATTTAGCTTCACGGCTTCACTGCTTCTTCTTCGTCACTGTAATTGGACACTGGACTACTGCAAGATTTTCGCTGACCAGACCACCAAACCACCGCCAAGGCAAGTGGGATTCATCCAGAAATTGCTCAGTGCAACGTCGATGTGGCCAGCAACCTGCTGGCACGTTCCATTTGACTGGGTTAGACTCAGTCTGAAGCATTCAACTCACATCCGAATTTGAATTGTGCTGTGTTAGTTAGTGCTTGCTTCGATTCAATGTTATTCAAATTACTTTCCTTCTGTTCAGATGAACCCCCAACAGCAAATCAGCAAACCTAACCAAGGAAGCATTGGCAGAAGGCACATTGGAAAATTTGGCAGGACGAGCGCCCTAACAAGATTTGTAAAGATCTGGGACTTTCAGAGCCAATCATTTTTGTCTGGGGAAGACTCCTGAATGCATCGAGGATGTTTGTTGGCGGGTTGCCGGAACAATCACACTGAGTCACTAAGTCATCAAGAAATACTGCAGCACTGCTCCATTCTGCGCGTGCTGCGCTGTGCTGTGATCCCCCCAAGGATCTTTTGACACTGCAAGGGTTCCCTGTGGAGAAGGTGTGTCTGGATGGCATGAAATACCACGACATGGCAGCTCTAGCAGGAATCTTGGCCCCAGTCTGGATCCGTGTCGGTCGGTTTAGTTGGTATTGTAAGGAAGTCTCTCTCTTGTTAGTTTTGTTAGTCCTTTCATTACACATGAGAAATGGATCGATGAAGGTGCGGTGCCAGGCCCTATTGTGAATGTTTGCCCCGGGTCGAGGGCCAGGGTTGTCAAGAGGCTCTCACTCTGGCTCTCAGTCAGATCAAGTCTGTGTCAACCGGTTGTAGTTGTTAAATGTTACTACTCACCACTCACTCGTGACTCACCACTACAACAACAACAACAACTATACTACTACTACTACTACTACTACTACTACTAACTGGTAACAGGTAAGCAAAAAGCTAGAATTTTTCCGGCAACGACAGGAGTGTGGCCACTGCTGCTACAATCTGAGGTGACAGCTGGTCAGTGCCTGTAGCAGGAGCAGTGGTCACAACACTCCTAGCAATTTTGATTCCATTCAAAACCGGGAGGCGGCCTCCAGAACTTTTGAGCGAGTTCCTCACAGATGAAGATTTCCCTGTGGGCGATTCAGAGTGGTCCATTCTGAGCTCACCAACCAGTCCTGCAGCAGAACCGCTTTCGTTCGACTCTTTTCCCAGATTGCCACTGAATGGCAAGCCCTTGTCCTCGCGAAGGGCCCTTTTGGACGACTCTGATGATGATGGTTCTGTTAGGTTTCCCCAGCGCCTCAGATCTCTGTCATGTTTGATTCAGCAGGATGCGGTGGACACGGTTTTGTAGCATGCTTGGCTCTTGCTGCACGAAACCGGAAATTTGCGGCATTAATTCAGATTAGATTTGACCTGATTTGACCAATTGTTGGAGCAGAGAGGCTTTGCTGCTTTAGTTTGGTCCAGGTCAGCCAGTCTCATGACTCATGACTGACGGCACTTTCAAGAGTAGAAGAACCCGCTTGAACACTCGGAGCTTGGCAGAAATTTTGTTTTTGCACACTGCATTGCATTGCATTCATTGTCGAGTGAGTCATTGTAGTTGTTCTTTCAGTTCCAGTTCTTTCAGTTGCTGCAAAGAAGGGTGAAGGGGCCCGGTTGATGCTCAATGTTACGTTAACATTAAATTCACACACACACACACACTGTCACACACTAGCTTTGTTTAGTTTAACTGTAACTTGTCTGTTGGACTGCCTTGTTTGGTTCGGTTGCCGGTTTGTTTGGCTTAACTTGCAGGGATTTGAACGCGAGGGCGAGTCCACTAGTATCCACTAGTGACTTTTTTGTGACGTGACCTCCAGTGACGTGACTTCTTCTACGACACGTGCGCTGGCCATGCCGACCATTCCAAACATCGACGAAGACATGGAGGCTCCCGCTGAGGCAGCCGGTGTTCCCCTTGGATCAGGCCAACCGGAGATGCCCGAGCATAGTGAGCGTGAGGGCTGTGAAGGTGGCAGCGAGGATGAAGGCGACATCCACTGCGATCCAGGTTGCTGCCCAAGCTGCGAGCAGAAGTTTGGAGAGCCAGACAAGGTAGGCAAACTGTCCAACACGGAGTTTCCAAGTCTTGTTTCATTCCAAGCGCTTCAAGATTCAAACGCTCAGCAAGCAACTACTGAAAGCAAAAGGCTCAGAAGGTGCTCTTACAAAGGTTTCTTTTTGACTTTGTAACTTTCGTGCTTTTGTAAGGGTCCAGGGACGGTTCGTGTTGTGTTCCCTTCAGGACGCTTTGCCAGGGCACACGATGATGGTATCCACTGCGAAACAGGACATTTCCATGTCGGCTCTTGTCCTTTGCCTGAAGTGCACGTACGTGAAGCGTGGCTCGTTCAAAAGCATGACTGCTGCTGAGTTCATCAAACTGAAGCGCAAATGCCGTCCGCTCTCAGACAAGCCGCCAGTCTGTACCAGATTTTTTGCTCTTGGTTGGATGCAGTTTGTGTGTTGGGCGGGATGTGTTAATGGTGTACTGTACAGTGTAATGGGCCATGGGGCCATGTGTAAACAGGCTCAGACTCAGACTCTACTACCACCACCGAACAAACACACTCATACAGATTTTTCAAGTTTTAGTTTTGACTCGACTCACTTTTTGACCGGCCCGATGACCCGAACAAACCCCGGATCCCATGTCATATCTCAGGATTGCAGCCTTGAGGCGCAAACTGGTTGTGGCATTGTGCCGCAACCCGCGCTCCAAGCCACGCCATGAAATCGTGGACCACAAGCTGTATACGACTCGGAAATCAAGCGATTATGTCGACTTTCGGCAGGCAGGATTCGGGTCTGGTTGGGTTGTTTTACTGAGCCGGGTCGGCAATGAACAGTCAGAGTCCGAGCCATTTATATAGTCAGTCGGACTCAGTCGTCATAGTCAGACTAAGGTTTACCAACTAGGCACTAGATCAGCAAGAATCCAAATCCATATATGGGATTTGATACGGAAAGAATTGAGGTTTTCTGATGGAGGAGCTGTTTCCAATTTTGTTTTCGTCCTTGGCTACATGCAGGAAGGCAGTTGGTATGAGCTCAAAGAGTACTTCAAGAAGGTAGCGGATGACGAGAGCAAGAAAAAGCTTAAGTCCCATGCCCAGCAAAAGGGATACCTTCAGAAGCTAGGCTTGCTCATTCAACCTGAATCTTGGCACTATTCACAACTTTTAGTCAGGGGCCAGGGGGGTTCAAAGGTAGTGACGGTAGTAGTCTGACTTTTTGAGGGATGCGGGATGCGGGATGATGGACTGACTGACTGAATGGATCATTTGAAAAATTAATGATTTAAAATACGACTCGACGACTCATCATCAGACTCATCACTTACGCCGATGCCAGCAATTCTTCTCTGTGCTGTCTTCAAATCCGTTCTCTTCTCAGGACGAGCGAGGCGTCGAGGGCGTTGTGGTGCTTGATGGGCCGAAGAAAGTCCTTCTGGGGCATCGCCTCTCTGCCTCTAAGACGACGCAATCAGAGCATGCAGACAGGGCTTCCATGGACGCTGTGCAGCAAGAGGATGCAGAGAAGTTGAAGATCCAGGCTCAAACAAAGGAGAAGTCTAAAGTCCAAAGTTCAATTGAATGGTTGCGCTCAGGGTCCGGGTCGACGTTACCAAACCAAGTTGAGAGTTTGTGATAGGTATGTTGTGATAGGTATGGATATGAGATATGTGATATGGATATGATATGATGATAAGAGTCATGAGCCACGGGACTGTTTTCTTTTTGGATTTTTTAGGGGTGCAACGGTGCAACTAAGTAAGACTGAGACTTTGCAGTGCAGGACGAGGAGGCTGCAGCCCTAGCTGATCGTGAAGAGGAAGAAGAGGCTGAACCTGTGGTGGATGACGATGAAGATGAGAAGGGTAGTTCGGATGAAGACAACTGGGGCGTGCCCAAGGTGCAGGAAAAGCCCAAACCGAAACCAGGTCGGACTGGGGGTGCCCAGAAACGGCAGAGGGAGAAGCAGGAGGAGGAAGCTTCCAAGACTGTTCCCAAGCAGCAGGCTGTTGAGAGCATGCCTCCACCGAAGAATCCAGCCAGGGTTCCAACCACTGTCCCGAAGACTCTGGACAAGCTGATTTCTCAATCCAACGCCATGCTCCAGACTTTGAAGCAAGTGAACCCCTTGCTTGTGTGGCAAAGCCAGTCCAAGCTCAAGGACTGCGATGTCAAGTTGAACAAGGCCGTTCTATTCATCGAGGGGCTCAAAGCGGCTGAGCAAACAGATGCCTGCCAGAGTGTCCTCAAGGAGCTTTGCAAGTGCACCAAGGATTTGGACAATTGGACCAACTTGATCAACAACCTGAAGCCTAGCTCTCTAGATGAAGTGTCAGATGTTCTTGACTTCATGAACTACATTGCCGAGAACGAGGGCAAGATTGCGAAACTACTTGGAAAATATCCGCCAGAGTGTGTCAAGCTTGCGATCTGCGAGCTGGGAAGGCTATATGCAGAGGCAAGGGTTGTAGGACGCATCAAACCAATCAGCATCACAGTGAGTCAGTGTGAAGGTTTTAAAGTTACTTTTCAATGACGGATCCAATTTCCAGGAATAAAATGTGGCAATCTAGGGTTTGAGTTGGGTTCAATTTCTGTCATTCGATCAGAATTCACTCACTAATTCGGTGACATTTCTCTACCTGAAGGCTTCTGTCATCGCAGCACCAATGACAGATGGCTACCGTTCAGCACTTTACCAGTTCATCTCGATGGTTGAGCTGCAGCAGTTCAAGTCCTTCAGCATCCTCTCCTTTGGCAAAATTTGTGCTGCTGCCAAGACCTTCGACAACAAAGCGTTGGACGAGAGTTTCTTCTTGGAATTGCAGTTGTCCATCTTCAACAGTTGGCTGGACAGGTTGCGGACTATGCCTGAAGAGGCTTCGCAGCCTTTGCTGAGCCACATCCCAGACGAGTTCAAGCAGCCACACTTGTTGAGGACGTCAGGGGGGTTCATGGATCAAAATGGATCGGTTGGTCTTGTTGTTGGCGCCCACTAAGTCTAAGTAGTCTACTGGTGTTCTTTCACAGTAGACAGTATTAGACTGTAGACTCTAGACTCTAGACTAAACAAGGACGATGACGTGACGCTGATGCTGGTAGTATCACATCAAACCAAGTCACATCATGATGTCAACTCAAATGGGCAGTAGTAGTAGTAGCAGTAGTAGCGACTAACTAACTAATAAGTAGCAGTAGTGGCTTCATGTTCCAGAACTTAAAGTCCAAACATGGGGTGGAAAGAATGAATGGGATAATTGGAAGGCAAAAAGCACAGGGTAGTCGGTGCAACGGAGTGAATTTTCAATTGAAATTGACTCAGTAAAGCAGTAAAGCAAAGCCTTTGACTTTGGACTTCTGTCACTTTGGTGAGTGCTTAGTGGTGTGATAAAAAATGCCGATACCGATGCCGCAATACCAGGATCCAAGTTGCTGAAGACAAGTACCGTACCAATTCTCTTCAGTGTGAAGATGCAGAGGGTGTGGAGTTCCAGAATGCCTCTGGCCTTGGGTTGCGAGTCCTGATGGACTTCCAGAAGCTTGCAGTTTGCAGCACGATGTTGGCTACTTCGGATTCCACCTCGGCTGAGCACCTGCGCCCAGAGGAGAAGGGGGACATCAAGATGGCAATTTCCCAGCCGGGCCAGTTCTCTGCCAAGATGAACCTGACTTTTCGAAGCAATGCACTTCTCAGGACGGCTCGCTTAGACAATTATTTGTTTTTGTGCTGCACTTCGGATCAATCATTTGAACTTTTTTTTGGATTTCAGAATAATTGGACAGTGAATTGATTGATGCAACATTGCTCACTGAATCTGGCACCCGATGCGCCCGATCCCGGCCGATGCTGTCCAGGGTTTACTATAGTTTTTCTTCCACGGTCTATTCTTATTTAGTCTCAGTCTGACCTTGTAAGTTTCCAACAGCTCCCGAATTCGCATTCCGATTCCCTGTTCCCTTTGCCAACTGCCGACTTGTCCAATCAGACTCCAATTAGCCAATTAGACTCTACTAGTGGCTAGATTATTAAAGAACACTTCTTCAAGATGTTTTTTGGTTTTTCAAATATAGACCCACGGCCCACGGTTTCTTTTACATAAATAATCAACAAAAACATAAATCATCATTATTATAAGATATGTTATGTTATATTATATTATATTAAAATATATTATCTATCATATCTATCAGTTTTTTGTATATTACATTTTGTGCTAGCGACGAGACCCAACCCGCAGGAAGCTTTGGGAGAGTGCCACGACTGTCTCAAAGAATGTGCTCTCAGAGAAAAAGGCAGCGGAAATTTCATCATCAGTGCTGGACAATGCAAGGAAGCTCAATGCGTTCCTGGGTTCTTCTGAATGCACGCCATCAGACGAATTCCTTGCGATGGTCGACGGGTGCAAAGACCTTCTTGACATTACAGCCACGTTGGCTTCGAAGGAGGGTGGCGTCCCTGAGCTTGGCCAGGCCCTCAACGACTTGAAAGAGACAATGAAACAGTTTGGGGTTGATTCCATGACCAAGCTCGGAGACTGGTTTGCAAAGCAATGGCTTTTGGTACCAGAAACAACTGGCTTTGATGCTGTGGAGAAGGATAACTTCAGGGCCCTCACCTCATCTTTGAAGATCCGAGGCCAGGGCAAGCAACCTTTTAGGCAACTGACCGACCGACCCTTACAAGATTTGTTCCATTTCTTTTTCGACTGGCTCACTGACTCAGTTGGTTGTAACTGTAACTAATTAGGGTGGACTCGCAGAGTGATCTGTGCTGAGTGCTGAGTGAACCGAACCATTGAGAATTGACATTGTTCTTACTGTTAGCATTTGTCATTAATTATTGATGTCATTGAATGAAATGTTATTGTCACATCGGACAGGCCGCGTTTGCACTTCTGTCTTGAAGGAGGAGCCAGAGACGAACTTGCGCATGCTTTGGACCATTGAGAAAGTCGAAGCTTTTTTGAACAATGATGATGAATCTGAACCCTCCTTGCGGGCTGCCTGGATTTTGGGCAAAGGCATCCATGATGACTTGCGGGTGGCCAAGATGTCAGTGTTCCAGAATGGGCAATGGGCGAGTCCATGTGTCCGTGCTAGTCAGAGATTACAGCAACTGGTGACTCAGAAAGGACCGGGCATTGTGACCAAGATTCTCCAAGAACAGACGGAAGAGAGCGTGAAGACTGCACAGTGCCTACTGGCAGGCTTGGAGGGCTTGAGCGGCCGCCTTCCTCACATCAAGTCGATTTTGGAGGACTTGGGAAACCTTGATGCCTATGCCAGCATGGAGGCCCCAAAAGACTTGGTGCAGGTTTGCAAGGATGTCTCCGCAATCGTCAAGGCTGTTGGCTATGACATGGAGATCCTCGAAGCACTCAAGCCGGATGCGAAGTCAAAGATTGTGCTGTACTTGGATCAGGTGAAAAAAGCACTGGACACGATCATCGGGGACATCGAGAAGGATGCAGCAACATGGGAAAAGCTGGTCTTGCGTTACAAGCCACTTGCATTCAGATTACATTCAGACTTTGAGGAAGTTGAAGAAAGAAGTACTAAGTTGTTGTTACCCAGATCCAGCATTGCTATGCTGAATCATATCATATGACTCTGACCCTAGATTAGACCATAGACCATGATATCATATCTATAGACTATAACTATAACTTACTTGCTACTTTACTGCTTCAGATGCGTGCAAAATCCATATCATAATCTCAAAAGAAATCTGCCGGCCTTTTCGACTATCTCGAGTCGGACAGTCGGAGTGTATTTTCTCTGAAGCAATTCTAGGCCAGTGCTTAGTGCAGCAGAGATGTGGCAGCCGGAGAAGATCGCCGAGCTGTCTTGGATGTTTGCTGGGGATGCCGCAGTAGACAAGGAGACCAAGGTCATTGTAAGCCTCAGAGACCAGCTACCTCAGCACCTTGGGGCAATGAAGGGCATCACTTCGTGCAAGTCCAGTTTCAGGAACGATGCAAAGCTGCTGGAACTGGTTGAGCAGGTTTTGGCATTGCAGGAGAAGATTGAGGACAGGCCTGCTTTGAAGCGGGCTGTTCCAGATTCCAGGTTGCACATTGCCAATTGCCAATTGCCATTCACGTGTTTGTTTTGTTGTTGTTTGAGTCATTTGAATGCAGCCATTCATCGAATGTCCAGTCCACTGGCCATGATCCCGCTGAGCGACCTTCGCAGGAGCTCAACGTCGTGAGTGCGCAGGTTGTCTCGACAATGATGGCAATGGAAGTGGTGATCAATCCTGACAAGTACCCTGACAAGCTGGCATCTTCCAGACAAGTTTGCAGCTTCATCAGCAGGAAGCTTGGATTGAGCAAGCACGACCTGACTCCGCTCCTCATGGCCAAATTTGATGACTTGGTTGCTGCTGCTCCGCCCCTAGACTTCACTTAGAGTTGGAGTCAGCTGGAGTACCAACCAGTAGTTTGGTAATTTCTTCGTGTTTGCTTGTTTTTCTAAATCAGATGGTGTCGCCCGATTCGTTGAACTTTCGTGGAACTTTGAGAGACTTGATTTTTTGGGCCTTGGGACCTGGGGCTTTCAGGTCTGAAGTGCCACAGAATGCTGATTCAGCAAAGCAGAAGCGCAGGCGTCAAAGTGAAGCGCCAGATCCAAAGGTTTCGGAGGGCCCTCAAAAGCGCGCGCCTTCAGCAAAGTCGGATCCGTCTAGCAATGGCAAAGCCAGTGCAAAGAGCGGAGCCAAGAAACAGAAGAAGTAAACGTGCTGGTTGGGAAACTTTTGAGATCTTGAAAGATCTTAGACAGGTAGATCTTTGCTTGCAGCCTGTTGGCATTCCAGCAGGCAGCGATAGGACACGACAATATGGACAAGTCAAGGCAGAGGGGCTGCCAAAAAGCGCGTACAGGACTTGCACTTTTGCCGCTGCCAATTTTGCACTGGGACTATGTTTCAATTCTGACGATTTCCCTTTCAATCTCTGTCCCTGTCCCATTCTATATAGCCACTTTAGCTGGCACTTTGTTTACACATAGTTTCCACATATTTTGGAAATAGTTTCCTTTTCATTTTTTGCATATGGCAATACTGGCTACATATTTGCATATAGTTTCAGCACCCTCCCCTTCCCCCACAGACAAAGAGGCCAACCCAGGCCCCAATTGATGATCCCTAGGGCTCCTGGCCCATCTCAGGTTCGGTGGTTAGACCCCCCCCCTGGCACCTACCTTCTCAGGAGGTGGGCCAGGAGCGCTAGGGCATAGTGACGCACCACACCGACCCCCCTCGGGGAAACCAGTGAAACAACCGCATTCGTCCCCAAAATTCGGGCGAGAGATTTCCAGTTGCCCGAGCTTCTGAGAGTCGTTGAATCAGTTCATCGGGGGCCTTTACTACAAAACGGCTACGAAACTCCGTGAAACCCTCACGGACGCGAAGATCTTGGCCGCGCCCGAAAGAAAACACCGGTGAATATTGGATCACCCTCAGGTGGCTTCCCGGGATTGGGCGGTTTTTTGGTTTTGACTTTTCCCGGGGGGGTAGATCTTTTTCTCCAGGGATACTGGACAGCAAATCCAAGCTTTCAGGTGACTTCCGCTTGGAGCTTGCCAGCATCAAGGGCCTCAAGCCATAGCCGAGCCAAAAAGTGCGCTCGACACCGTGCGCTGGTGTGTGCACTGTGACCCGCATCTTCGAAAACCACCAACATCATCGATATCGCAAAAAACACATGAAAACACAGTTGTTTTTAATCCCTAGGGATCCAAGTACCTTCTTGATTGGAGGCACTGTTATGTAGGTGCCAAAACGTCGGGTCCAGTCGTACCGAACCTGAGGTTCGGTCACCAAAACGGATCGATTGGTCGAGCCGAGTCGATGCGGTCGATGGTTGGATCATGTTGCAAACATCTTCCCCACTCGATGTCCAGTCGCACACCCGATGGCCGAGGGCGCATGGACCTGGAGGACGAGGTTCAGGCGCCGGGGGAGGGACGAGGACTGCGAGGTGCAGGTGAAGAAGAACCCTGGTGGAAGAGGGGGGAATTGGGCGAAGAAACACATGTTCACAAAAGGAAAACCATAGGTTTGAAGTCTTGAAGAACCCTATAGACTATTCCATAGGTGCCCTATAGTAGGGTCCTATAAACTGAAATCAACGTTAAACAAAAGGATCATACCATAATGACTCGGCTATGCAAAAAGGTTGTTAGGTCACTGAACCTCTCTTGGTTGATTCTTCCCTTGGACCAGTTCATGGATGATTTTCAGACGTTTCTTTCCAAATTTCAGCTGGTTAGACGACCGTCCTTTCTTTCAGCGAACAAGGACGGTCCAACAGCGAATCTCCGGGGTGATGTCTTGATTGGCCTTTTATTGATTCGAACTGATTAAATTAACAAAACACCAAACAACTACCAGATGTGTTGTTTTTTCCAGGTTTGTCACATCTCCATATATATATATATATATATATCAGGTGCTTTGTTCATCAACATTAATCAGCGGTCAACATCATTCATCATCGTTTTTGTGAAACGCAGTCGCAGGTGCAGAAGCGCCTGCGACAAGAAGCAGAAGATTCGTTGGCGGAGGTGTGGACTGGGAAAGTGGCTGAGTTTACACTCCCTGCCCCTTGTCCTGGTTACGTGGCATGGCCCCGGAAGGAAAGTAATTGTCCTCTACAAACAGTTGTCCACTTCCATGTCAGTTCCAGGGAGTGTAACTTCCAACTTCATAAGGACCCCCACCGGGTGGTCATGCCATCTAGCAGCAGCAATAGTATGATACATAAATATTATATAATATGTGTACAGTCTGTATAGTACAGTATTTTCATGGTCATGTAGTTTAAGGGGTGGTTTGGCCGGCCAAAGAAAATGCTACCACAGAGGTGGATACTTCGCCATACTTCGCCATCCAGTAGGCGCCTACTGATATCTACTGATCATTCGTTTGATCTCCACCCTTGACTACCCTAACAAAAACCATCAAAAGTACTACAGTAAACACTGACAAACCACACATATCACCGACTTGGCGGTGTCCATGCCCGTCGGTCCGTCTCAGTCTCAATCGAAACTCCCGGCCCAGTCGGGCGAAACGTGGCCCGAAACGTGGAAGAACCAACAAAACCCTTGGATCAGATGATCTGCGGATGAGATGATGTGTGATTTCTTCCTTTCTGAACCCGGCCTGTTTCTTTTTCTCCCCTGACACCCAGACTTCAGATGTTGAATCTGTTCTTCCCAGACTTCCCAGACTTCCGCACCCGGTCTTCCTTTGTTTCACCAAGACCGGTCAGCGCGTGGCGCTCCGCGCGTGGCGCTCCGCGCGTGGCGCTCCGCGCGTGGCGCTGCAGGTGGAGCGCCGCCTGGGGTCCATCGAAGTGGAGCAGAAGAAGATCTGCCGCGGGACCTGGACGAACGGCCGGGTGGTGTTGGAAGTCCAAGTGATCTTGATAAAGCTTAGACTTCTGTCTGCCAGACCTTATATATTCTAGAAGTTTATCATCTTGAAAAGAGCAAAAACAAACGCAAAATAAAGCAATCACAAAATGCAACGAGAAAAACACAAGCAATTTAAAAGCAAAAAAGAGAAAATAACAATCACAAATTGCAGCCAAACAAACAAAAGCAATCATAAAAGCAAAAAAACAAACAAAATTGCAAGCAAAAATGGAACAACTCAGCCGGGCTTTCTGGCGCACTTTTTGGAAGGGTCCACCTTCTGGCGCGCGTTCTGGCGCACTTTTGGGGGAGGGTCCACTTTCTGGTGCACTTTGGGTCGCTTTTTGTTTCCCTTTTTTTCTCCGATGCCGGGTAAAAAGTCGCACTTTTGGTCGCTTTTTTTCGATGTTTTTTTTTGTTTCGACCAGGCACCAGAAAAAAAAAGAGACCAAAAGTGCGACACTTGACCCGGCATCAGAAAAGACCCTTGTCCAGTCTAACCCTACCCGGCCCCTCCAAACTACCCTCTGTGTGTTGCTTGTGTTTTTTTGTTGTGTTTTTTTGCTTTTTGTTGCTTTCTTGGTTGCTCTTTGTTTTGCTTGTGCTCTTTTGGTTGGACTTTGTTTGTTATTTTTGCTTTCTTGGTTGCTCTTTGTTTTGCTGGTGCTTTTTGGGTTTGTTTTTGTTGTGCCTTGTGTTTCCGTTTTTTTTTTCAAGTTGGTTGATTTCTAGAAATAAAGCCACCTCTGGTGGACACAAGCTTAGACCAAATAGTTGATCTTGGTCAGCCGGATCTTGAAGTAAGTCTCCGAAGTTTGGACCTGTCCATGCTCCAGGACCATCCCAGTGGCTGAGGTCACTGGGTGGAAGGTCCCTTGATTTCAGGCCACGTCTGCCAATCCTCTTCAGAGGTCACTGGGTGGAAGGCCCGTGCTCGAAGTTCATGGGCCTTGATGATATGTCCAGAATCGTTTCCGCGGTTTTTGGTCAAGGTTCTACCTTACGCGCCCAAAAAAGTATGCAACAATTCCGTTAACGAAAACACAAACACAATAACATAGAATAACACAAAACACGCC